TTCTGACAGTGAAAAAAAATAAACCAATGGAACAAGAAGTTGCCTTCAGAAGTTGTGGGAGCTTCACCCCTGGAGGCTTTCAAGAAGAGACTGGACTGCCACCTGTCAGAAATGGTGTAGGATCTCCTGCTTGGGCAGGGGGTTGGACTAGATGTCCTACAAGGTCCCTTCCAACCCTGTTAATCTGTAATCTAATCTCAACGGTGAACGTAGGTGTCTGGATGTTGTGTGTGGTTGTGTGATACATGTCCCTCCCTGCCTCCTTTTCCAGAGAAGCGGCCCCCACCACTTCATGCTGCTCCCCCTATGACTCACACTTGCCTCCTCCCTCAGCATCACAATCCCGTCCTGCACGAGGCCTGACTCAAAATACCGCGTTCCTATCTGGGGGTGGGTGGGTGCGATACAGCCAATGTCTCCCCCCCCCACCCAGTGCCGAGCAGGCAGCCAATAGGCAATGAGGTGAAGCGAGGAGAGACACAGAAACACCCCCACGTATACACACTACATCTGGGCACCAGGCCAGACCAGGCTGGCCCTGGGCGAGAATCCCATTGTTAAAGGAGTTTGAAGGGGGGGGGGAGGGAGACACACAAACACACCACTCCCAGCACACACTGTACTATCCCCGGACACAATGAGGTAGAGTGGACACGATTCGGTGGGCGAGAACGACAACTATGTCAAAAGAACAACACCCACCCTCGCTCCGCAAGGTGCACCTGCCCACATGCAGGCAAACTCAGGGAAACCTTGAATTTCCTTCTCTTTCTTGCAAGATGGTCAATCAATCAATCAATCAGAAGCAGCCTGGAGGGACCTTGGAGGTCTTCTAGTCCAACCCCCTGCTTTAGCAGGAGACAACATACCATTTCTGTGTGAGAGCCTCTGTGGCGCAGTGGTTAGAGTGCAGTATTGCAAGCTACTTCTGCTGCAGACAGCTGCCTATAGTTTGGCAGTTCGAATCCCACCAGGCTCAAGGTTGACTCAGCCTTCCATCCTTCCGAGGTGGGTAAAATGGAGGACCCAAATTGCTGGGGGCAAGAGGCTGACTCTGTAAACAGCTTAGAGAGGGCTGTAAAGTAGTATATAAGTCTAAGTGCTATTGCTATTTCAGACAAGCGGTTGTCCAGTCTTTTCTTTAAAAACCTCTCTAGTGATGAAGCAGACACAATTTCTGGAGGCAAACCGTTCCACTCATTAATTGTCCTCACCATTAGGAAGTTTCTCCTTAATTCCAAGTTGCTTCTCTCCTTGATTAGTTTCCGTCCATTCTTTCTTTGTCCTGCCTTCTGGTGCTTTGGAAAATAAGTTGACCTCCCTCTTCCTTGTGGCAGCCCCTCAAATATTGGATTACTGCTATCATGTCACCCGTAGTCCTTTTTTTTCAAATCCCATCCACACAACAGAGAAGCATACAGATTAACCTACCTGTGTAGGGCAAGATACCATATACAGGTAGTCCTCAACTTATATCCACTCAGTGTTACAACACTGAACAAGCGACTGGTGTTGGCATTTACAATTGTTGCAATATCACCATGGTTGCATGATTAAAATTCGGACTTTTGGCAACTGGCATGTATTTATCATGTTCATGTCATTGCCATTTTCAACCTTTCCAAACTGCTTCCAACAAGCAGTGTCAATCGGAGGTGGGGGAGCCAGATTTGCTTTAACGACCGTATGATTCACTTAACGACTGCAGTGATTTGCTTAGCAACCATGTCAAAAAGGTCGCAAATTCGAGCATGACTTCACTTCGCAACCACAGGGTCAGAAAATCTGGTCGCAACTGTGGTTGTAAGACGAGGACTACCTGTAGACAGGGCAGAAATTTCACAGGGAATTTACAAGGGTCACCACCCACACAATAAAACACGTAACAAAACCCACACAATAAAGCGCGACCTACGTGCTGCACACAAAGGGAAACTTAATTTTGTTAGCCGAGTAGCGTTTTCTAAATGGTTCAAAGAAGAACGGGTTTCTGCCCCCTCTCAGAGAAAAGCACTGCCTGAGGATAAGGGCCCTCGGCTGAGTTGTGTCCAGAGATGCTCGATGACAGATGGAGAAATCAATTAGGTGTGAATCAGCCAAAGTGAAGGAGGGAGTAACCAATTTGGCCTTCTGGATGATCTTTGCTCTACAGAGCTATGTGCGAAGGCTGCCAAATTGCAGCTGGAGAAGTGTCACAGGCCGTTGACAAGCAGACACAACCCCACCCCCACTGTCTCACCGGTGTGACCAAAAGTGGCTGGCTACGGTGTCCTCCTTCATTCATTATTTTAGTCTCAGGCCTGTTATTTATGTAACCTATCCTCCCTCCAGAGAAGTTCCAGGCCATAGAACTGGAATTATTCCAAGCTCTTCTGTATTTTAATCACATGAATGCAGCTTCTCGCGCGTGTGTGCGCTCTCTCTCTCTCTCTTTGTGTCTCTGTGTGTGTCTCTCTCTGCCTCTCTTTTTCTTTCTCTCTGTCTCTGTCTCTCTCTTACTATCTCTGTCTCTTTCTCTCTCTTTCTGTATCTCTCTGTGTGTCTGTCTCTCTCTGTTTGTCTCTACCTGTCTCTTTCTCTATGTGTCTGTCTGTGTGTGTGTGTGTGTGTGTCTCTCTCTCTACCCCTCTCTTTCTGTCTCTCTCTGTGTGTGCGCCTGTCTCTCTGTCTCTACCTCTGTCTCTCTTGCTGTGTCTCTCTCTTGCTGTGTGTGTGTGTGTGTCTGTCTGTCTGTCTCACTCCTCCCTCACGCACACACATTTTCACTTGCTGAAGATGCAGGTAGACCTCAATGGAGCTCAACATTTATGTTGTTAAGTAAGACCTCTGTTAAATGAATTTTGCCCTATTTTATGACCTTTCTTGCACAGGTTGTTCAGCGAATCAGTGCAATTGTTCAGTTAGTGACACAGTTGTTAAGTGAAACTGGCTTTGCTCATTGGAAGGTTGCAAAAGGGATCACATGACCCCGGAACAGTGCAACCGTCATAAATATGAGTCAGTTGCCAAGGTTTTGAATTCCGATCACGAGACTATGGGGATGATGCAACAGTAAGTGTGAAAAATTCCACTTTTTTTCAGTCCCGTTGTAACTTCGAACAGTCACTATAAATGAACTGTTGTAAGTCAAGGACTGCCTGTATTGTGATCAGGGACAGCAGAAGAACCTTACTAAATACACAGAGAATAATCAAACTATTTAATTAACTGGATTTAATTAAAAGGCAGTTAAAGCCAGCTTTTCTATATATTTTTTTTGGAAGGATGACCCCCTGGGCACACCATTTAAAGATCAAGTGTGACTATTCGCCTTAAAAATGTTGCCCAGCCTTGGTTTACAGCTACGACTGAACTGGGACTCATAGCTTATTGCTCTCTTAACAAGCCCAGTGGCATAAAGCAGGAATTATTTTTGGCTTGTGATTTTTGACTTGCCAGGAAAGAACAAAACCAGAGATTTTTGATATAAGACCAAGTCAGAGGCTTCCAGCTGTCAGCAAAAGCCAAACTGCTTGAATTAATAGGCTTGCATGGTCCTGAGAAGCCAGAATTTGAAAGAATTTTGATTTAACATCAAGTCCAAAGTATTTACTTTGCTCTTCGCTTTCTCTTCTCAGTTCGTCTGAATGCTGCCTGCTTTATAGTTGTACATATTAATATGGAAGCTTGATCAAAAGTTTCTTCCAAAATCATAATAGTCCCGCTCACTTCCAGATTTTGAGGCAGAAGAAAAAATTTAATAGGAGGCATAAAAAATATATGAGGCACTGAAGGAAGCAGGATGACATAATTTTGGTATCTTTAACATTTTGAAAACTCAAATATTGCAAAATGGGGTCGCTTGGTTACAGCTTTCTATAGTTGTCCTTGACTTAGAACTGCCATGGGGACCCAAGTTTCTGTTGCTAAACAAAGGAATTACCAAATGAGTCACAGCCAATTAACTTTTTTGACAGGGTTATTAAGTGAATCCTGCGGTTGTTAAGCGAATCTGGCTTCCCCCATTGACTGGGAAAGTCACAAGCCGTGATCCTATGACCCTAGGATGCTACAACTGTCATAAATATATACCGGTTGCCCAAGTACCCAAATTTTGATCATGTGACCCGTGGGGGTGGTGTGACAATTTTAAGTGGGAGGACCAGTTGTAAGTCACTTTTTCCAGTGCTGTTGTAACTCCAAATGGCCATTAAACGAATCATTGTAAGTCGAGGACTACCTGTAACTGGGTGTTCTGACCCAGCTCCCCAAACACGACAAACCCTCTGTAGTTGAAGCAATGATTCCTTTATTAGGAGCGCCAGCAGCCCCCGGCAAAACGTTCCTCTCTCACCGCAGGCTAACTAGTCCATCTAGCAGGGAGATGAATAGTTGTCAGCCACATCTATTCATTTCCGCCCCCCTGCCTTTTATTCCCCAGAGCTCGGGTGGGGCTTCGATAGCAGCAGTGGCTCTTTCTTCCCAAGGACCGGCCCATAGATTTCCACTGCTCTCCTCTCCTCTGCTTTCTGCACATCTGCGCATCCGGCACTGGACACAGTTATTCCTCCTCTTCCTCAACAGCCACCTCCAGACCTGGGGGCTGTTGATTCTCCCTCTGAGGGCTGACGGATAGCCCAGGCTCTGCCTCTGCCTCGCTCTCTCTCTCTCTCTCTCTGCCAGCTCCATTCCCTCTTCCCCCTCAGAGCTCTCAGGTTGCCTTGAAGCTGACCCTTTCGGCTGCTGGAGGGGGCCAGCAGCCGACAGGCTACAACCCTGGGTTAGTCATCCATGGCACGGAACTCCACCTGGGATCATTAAATCAGGGTGCACAAGAGCCCCTAAATTTACTCCCAATTGCTTTGCAAAAGGGGCATATGAGGACCCCTTGTGTGAGGAGTACCCACAGGTGAAAACGCATACACGTTCCAGGCAAGGCAGCGCACGCAGGAAACGCATCTTTGTTATGGACGCTAAGGGGGGAATATACAAGCAATTCCACTCCGCTTGAGGATGTGGTAATGTCCGCAGGTACCTTTGCAGTGAGTTTCCCAAAATCAAGCCCGCTTCCCTTGCGTTAAAGTCACAAGCGACCACACAGAATGCCACCCCCCCCTCCCCACACAAAATCTGGATCAAATCCCTCTCGTGATGATAAAAATAGAGATGGGGCTCCGAGCAGCCGGGAGACGGTAGTCTTGGTTACCAGTTGCCGGGGAGACAGCAACCTGCATATGTGATGCTGAAGGGGGAACCGGAGCCCAACCTTAGGACTCAGAAAAGCACATGCTGTACAATTCCTTAGCTTTTAAGCTTCTCCCCAACTATGTACCCCTTTCCTGAGCACATCAGAGGTGTCGTCCCACCCCCCCTACACACACACACAACAGTGTGTAAAACCTGGATGTCCTTGGAGCAGCGTTTCTCAACCTTGGCTGCTGGCTGGGGAATTCTGGGAGTTGAAGTCCACACACCTTCCAGCTGCCAAGGTTGAGAAGCACTGCCTTAGAGCATCATTTTATACAATCTTCCCACTCCCAGAACCCAAATAATTCTCTGATTAAAGATCTGAATTCAGAGTTCTGGGGCTGCTACGAAGAAGAGGGAGTCAAGCTATTCTCCAAAGCACCTGAGGGCAGGACAAGAAGCAATGGGTGGAAACCAATCAAGGAGAGAAGCAACTTAGAACTAAGGAGAAATTTCCTGACAGTCAGAACAATTAATCAGTGGAACAACTTGCCTCCAGAAGTTGTAAATGCTCCAATACTCAAAGTTTTTAAGAAGAGATTAGATAACCACTTGCCTGAAATGCTATAGAGTTTCCTGCCTAAGCAGGGGGCTGGACTAGAAGACCTCCAAGGTCCCTTCCCTGTTATTCTATTCTATTCTGTTCTGTTCTGTTCTGTTCTGTTCAGTTCCTGAAGAGCACGCCTGCACGATTGAAGGAAGCCACATAAAATGGCAAACATGTTATCATATCCCATTCAAAAAAATCTGGATATGGCGCTTTGCCTGTGAAGCTTCTTAAGAGGAAGAATTTGGGATAAGATTGGGAACGTGATGTATTTGCTCAGGCACATCAGAAGCAGAGGGCCGGACCTCGGGGCCAAATCTAAGGACCCCTCCCCGCAACCTTTGGGGATTGCCAGATGACCATTTGGAGAACGATCTTCGGTCAACTCCACAGCATCAAACAACTAGAGAATATTAGCAGCTGGCCGAGCTTAAGCCAGTGATGCATGCATCAACTCACTCCAGAATTCTTGCCTTTTTCGGAGCATTTTATATGCGCAGGGAGGCGAGCCACACACATTGTTAGAAAGGCTGCACTTTCTTTTAATTGTTTTGGAAAGCATTTGCTTTCCAAAGCAAGCAAATGCACTCGCCAATTCTTTTTTACCAGTAGTCCTCAACTTACCACTGCAATTGAGCCCCAAATTTCTGTTGCTAAGTGAGACGCTTGTTAAGTGGGTTTTTGCCCGCCCCCTCTTTTACGACCTTTCTTGCCTCGGTTGTTAAGTGAATCACTGCAGTGGATAAGCAAGTAGCCCGGTCGTTAAGTGCTTCCCTGTTGACTTTGCTGGTCAGAAAGGTCGCAAAAGGGGGATCACGTGATCCACCGGGGACACAGCAACGGGTCATTAAGTATGAACCAGGGACCAAGCCTCTGAATTTTGATTACATGTTCACGGGGATGCTACAAAGGTCATAACTGCGAAAAATGGTCATAAGTCCCTTTTTTCAGCACCATTGTAACTTCAAATGGACAGTAAACGGACTGTTGTAAGTCAAGGACAACCTGTACAGCTAAAATGTAGAACTGCACACACACACACACACACACACACACACACACACACACACAGAGCTGGCAAACAGGTTTGGCTTTGTTTTTACTCCGAAGCTGGAATAGGCAAGAAGGAGTTGTAAGTCCTGGAGCTGCACGGAGCAAAGGGGAGAATAGACAGGTGAGCTCGGTCCTCCAGAAACACTTTGCCATATAAACACTTCCCCATGACTTCATTGCACCACTCTTGGCACAATCACGTGTCCCATATGATGCTCCAGCTGGCTTACACTCAGATGCAGCAGCCCACGTACACCGAGTATTTAAAAAAAAAAAAAAGGCAGTACCAGAAAGCTACCTTTAATATCCAGCCCTTGGAGGAAGCCGTACTATCATGCTGCTGGCAGACTCAAGTGTTATGTTGTTCCCACAGAGGATTGGAGAGATAAATGTACTGCAGCGAACCCCTATGCCCCCCCCCCACCGCCACATCATGCATGCACCCCCATGCAAGGCGGGTGGAAATGCCCCCTCCTTTTCCAATAAAAAGGACCGTATGCATTCATCACTCAGTCTTTTAACAGGTTATTTCCTTGATCCTTTCCCACCACCCACCACTCCAAAAAAAAACCCGAGGCGCCAATGCAGAAGAGGGCAATCTTCTGATTTCCAGAAACTACATAAAATGTTTGGAAACCGAAAGGGCTGCAACAGATGTGGCTGTGTAACACATGTTGGCACGGCTGGGCTTTTTTCTTTTCTTTTCGCTTTCTTCTTTCGGGTTGTTGGTTTTTTTTAAAGGCTTTTAAACTTTTAAACTTTAAAGCCTGTCGTTGGAATGCTTACATTATTTATTTCTGGCCTCAAAAGGGTGGGAAATTATATCCCCGCTATTTTTTTTTCTACAGCAGAGGTCAGAAAGGACTCCAGATGCTGCAAAAAAAAAGGGGGGGGAGGGGAGGGAATTGGGAACCCACCAGCAAAAGATACAATAGCTTTTCCTTGCTGGTAACAGGAGGCAGATCAAAGCCCTGGTCGTTCTAGAACAGGATTTTTATCCTGCTGCTTTTGTCTCATCTGGCTTCCTTCAACATAGTGGATCACAGCTTCATATAAATTCCAATAAGCATTAGAGAGTTGCAGTATGATCATCTCATCTTTGGGGTATGTTTTCTACCCATCCACTTCCTTCCTTCCTTCCTTCCTTCCTTCCTTCCTTCCTTCCTTCCT